CAATTTAGATCATTAAAATGATTATTGTCATAGATAGTGGATAAGAGGTTAAGTTCTGGGTCTATACTTGACTGCATAAAAAAAAAGCTGATTGCAGGAAAAACAAGGAAAGAAAGGCAAGTTACAAGGTAAAAATAAGCTATAAAATAGGGAAAAAAATGTACACAATACTGTGCAAAACAAACACAAAAGGGGCTTACAGGGGTACAATGGAGTAAGGGAGTATGGCTAGGCTAGGCAACCTAGGTAATAAATGAGATTAAAGAAAAAACATATAAACATGGACTATACAAAACACAAGATATAGATATACAAAACAAAAATATAAACAAGACTAAGCAATACAAAAACAAATTGAGCAAAAATGAAAAATGAGGTAGATTGCTTACAAGTACTCTCAGGTACACTGTAAGTAACAATAGATAAATAATATATATCAATATAGATAAGAATGTCACGATACAATAAGATGAGCAGTTACAGGAACAGATGAAAGCAAATCTGCTGTAAAATAGAAAGTAATTATAGCAAAACACAACAATATAATAATATAACAATACAATAAGAGCTTACAAAGTATTGAGTCTGCTAAATTAGAGAATAATTATGGCAAGACACAACAATAAATGCAAGTAAACAAAAGAATTGAAACAATTAGAGGTAGAATTAAGGTCACTAGATAGCCATGGAGGATACACAAGTTTGGCGGAGAGAACAAAAAATCAGTAGAGACTGTCAAGATGAATATATAAAAAAATTTGACAAATTATAATTTTAAAGTAAAATAATCTTAAAGATAAAATTTTTTATTAAGCTTAGTTTTAACTTATAATTAGTATGAATTTAATAAAAGAACAAAAATGAGATCAATAATTGATTTCAATAAATGATATAGATCAATACAAATAAATTTAAAATATAAATGGAATAGGGTAAGATTAGATTTAAGAGTAAAATTTTACAATGAAACTGAGGTAGATGCTTGCATAAGTGCATGGAGACTTGATGGATTATTTAGGAAATTATATGAATGAGAGAACATTAGGTAAAAGGTAAGGCAGAGACAGCACCTTAGACAAAGTTAGATTAAGTTAGGTTAGGCTCAGGCACTGAAAGAGTTATTTTAAGTACTGGCATTGGTTGGGTTCAGGTTTTCAGATATACCACAATCACTTAAGAAGGCTAGGAGTTGTTGGTCACATTTTATTTCATATCTTTTTCCTGTAATTTCCTTCTTCGCAAAAATCGTACCATTCCTAGTGTAGCACTGCTTGATAAGACCAGGTTTATGTTTGCGAATTTGACGCAGCCTGAAGAGGAGGGATCCACGCTGCTTTGTAAGACACTCATTTATATAGAGGTTGGTTGTTTGCTTAGCAGCTGATTGTATGAGGTCAAACTTCGCAGAGGGATTTGCAAGTTTGATGAGCATTCTCCTAATGGTACGGGGATTGTTTTTATCTAACCTAATAGCCGATTTGATTTGAACATTGACACTGATCTTTGAATTAATTAGGGTGTTGGCTATGTTACAGCAATCCTCACCTTGTTGTTCATCAGGTAGATCAGTAGAGCTAATTATCAGGGAGTCATGAAGTTGTTGTTGCTCTTGGTCATCTTCGGAAGCCGCCTGGTGAATCTGAAGGAGATTCATCTGTTTTTCCAGCTTTTGAAGGAGGTCACTTTGAGCTGAGTGGGTTTCTTCGGCCTGAATCTTACGTATTTGTTCCATTGCACCATTTGCAACAGTTTGTATGTTGTGAATTTCTTGGTTGTTGTTCGTCGACGATTCAAGGAGGCAGTCTATGGTATGTTGTTGTCGGGTGACTGTGGCTTGGAGGGCCGAAATAGCTTCTGATTTCATTTTCACAAGGTTGTGCAGTTTCTGGAGCCATGGATTACTTCGGAGAGGTTTGAAGTTTGGACAGGGAGCCATAGATTGAGTGAATTCTACAGCTAGAGATTCGAGTGAGTGAGTTGAAGGGGGGGAGTGAGGAGGGGGAGCGGATGCTGTGCTTACCAACATCGGCGGGGATTGCAACGTTGCCAGTGTTTCATTCAGAACTCTAGGAGTAATGGAACCAGAGCGAGAGGCACCCCTACCTTGCTTGGTGTTATGTTTGGGCATGTTTTCGACGAATAGATTCTTGGTAGCGTTTCTAAAGGTAGATACTTGGTGAATTATAGTAGGGATGCCTAGCGTATAGGGAACACTTGGCTGAAGGGTCGTAGAAAGGCAGGCGAAAATTGGTTAATTTTGGTTGATTACTGTTGAGGTTCACTGTGAGTTATGGCATATTAAGTCTCCATGCACTTAACTCGTGCTAGGCAGCAGTTAGGCCATGCAACGTTGAGTGGAGACGAAATTAACACGAATTTTCAGCAGCAGTGTCGGAGCCGGTACCACCCGCCTGGCGTTTCCCGCCAGAAATCTCGGAATGTCCATGCTCTCGGAATATTACAGATCACCTACATCCTATTGAAGCCTCGTAGTTTTGTTTTAAGAAATATTAGTTGTTCTTAGTAAATTATAATAAGCACTATAATTTATTACATGAAATAAAAGTGCTTCACCAATCAACATTATATACACTAGTTTATGCTTTAAAAATCTTTAAAGAATGTATTGTAGGAACGTCAACAAAAAACGATGTTATGCTGGAGTGTCAAAGGGGTAAACTGCTGCAAACAGGATGGTATAGTGTCTACTTCCTACTGAAGGATGGGTATAGGGTCCACTACCACCTGTTAGGTGGGTAAGGGGTCCATATCACTTGTAGGATGGGTCTGGGCCCAACAACTGCCCACAGGATGGGTATGGGGACCACTATCATCCACAGGATGGTTATGGGGTTCACTACCGCCTACTGGATGTGTATATGGTCATCTACCACCCACAGGATGAGTATGGCGTCCACTACTGCCCACAGGATGAGCTTAGGGACCACTATCATCTACAAGATGAGTATAGAGTCCACTACTGCCCACTGATGGGAATATATATTCCTCTTTCGCCCAAAGAATGTGTGTGGCGTCCAGAATACAGCCCGAAGGATGTGTGGCGTCCACTATAAAGCCCAAAGGATGTGTGTGGCGTCCACTATAACGCCAACAGGATGGGTATGGGGTCCACAATCACCCACAGGATGAAAATTGAGTCTACTACCTCCCACAGGATAGGCATGGCCTCCATTGCCGCCTACAGCATGAGAATAGGGTCCAGTACCGTCCAGGAAAGGGGTATATGCTTAACTACCGCCAACAGGATGAGTATATCGTCTACTACCGCCCACAGGATGGGTATGGGGTTAACTGCCACCCATAGGACGCGTATGGGGTCCACTACCGCACTCAGGGTGGGTAGTGGGTCCATTACCGCCCACATGATGGGTATGGCGCCTACTGTCGCCCACAAGATAGGTATGGCGCCCACATGATAAGTATTGTGTCCACTACAACCCAAACGATGGGTATGGCCTCCACTGCCACATAAGGATGAGTATAGGGATCCAGTACCTCCCACGTGATGGGCATGGGTCCATTACCGCCCACAATATGCTTATTGACGTCATGTACCGCCTACAGGATAGGCATGGGGTCCACTACCGCCCATACGATGGGTTTGGGGATCACTATCATCCACAGGATGGGTATGGGGACCACTGTCATCCACAGGATGGGTATAGGGGTCCACTACCGCCCCTAGATTGGGTATGGGGGTCATGTCCCTCCACAGGAAGGGTATATGCGTCACTACTGCCCACAAAATGAGTATGGGGTCAACTATCGCCTTCAGGATGGGTATTGGGTAGACACCCACTCACAGTATGGGTATGGGGGGGGGCACTACTACCCACAAGATGGATATGGGGTCACTACCCACCCACAGGATGGGCATGGGGGTCTACTACCGCCCACAGGATTGGTATGGGGTTACTACCACCCACATGATGGGTATGGGGGTCCACAACCACCCACAGGATGGGTATGGGGTCCAATACCGCCAACAGGATGGGTATGGGGTCCAATACCGCCCACAGGATGGGTATGGGGTCTATTACCGCTCACAGGATGGGCATAGGGTCCACTACCACCAACAGGATTAGCATATTGGGTAGTAGAACCTTCTACTGCCCACAGGATGGGTGTGGGATTTATAATTATAATAAGCACTATTAGTTTATTATTACTTATTAAGTTTATTGTTACAACTTAATCATTATAATTAAGTACCTAATTTCGTCTTCATTGTTTCCTACTCTGTGCTTTAAAGTTGCTCTGTATCTAGTGTTACCCAATCTTTATGTACTTAATCCAATCAACTTTACCATTGTGATCATTGCTGTCTTCTTATATGTGCTAGCAATATGCTGTATTGTGCCTATTAATCTTTGTTAAATTACCATTCAAGCAGTCAGTGCAATCTATCTGAGCTACCTATATGCTTTAATATACATGCCCGATACGCTACGCGTACTAGTGGCTTTACAAGAATGTAATTATTATGCTATGTATCCTCACAATCCCAATGTACCGTCTTCTATATATAAATAAATAAATAAATAAATAAATAAATAAATAAATAAATAAATAAATAAATAAATAAATAAATAAACATTCAAATCTCTCTCATCTCATTTTTTTCTTGCAATGTACTTGTTATCATTTTATAAATTTTTTTAGTATTTACCTACGTAAAATTTTCTGTTAGATTAAGGATCTGCCCGAAACGCTGCGCGTACTAGTGGCTTTACAAGAATGTTATCACTATGCTATGTATCCTCAATATCCCAATGAACCTTCTTGTATATATATACATAAATAAATAAATATATAAATAAATAGTTATTACACATAATAATGGCGCTTCCCAAATCAATATTATATACAATATTGTATGCTTTGAAGATCTTTGAAAATAAAAATGAGAATGGATTGTAGGAACGTTAACAGAATACAATGTTACATTACGAATGTCTATGGGGTACACTAAAATCAAATCAAAATCAAAATGTTTATTCAGGAAAAAATACGTACATAGAAGATGAGTTACAAACATAATGTTTGATTTATAGATAGAGTTAGTACATATAATACCTAAAGTAACTAATACAACGTTTCCGGCAAAGTGTGGGGAGAAAAACCCCTTACACTAAAGATTAATACTAACTGAGATTAAAGTATAAATTGTGTTGAAATAAGGAAAAAAGGGAGGAGTGGGGAACATGGCAGAAATCAGCAATTATACAACTTGCTCAACAAAGAGTATTGTTTGAAAATAGCAAGACATAGGTTGACATTTAAGGAGTAAAGTAAGTTACAAGGAGTTCATTAGAAATAGTATTTAGTTTTTCTTTTAAACTGGTTGAGAGAGGTACAACCTTTGACATGATTGAGGAGGTCATTCCACAATCTGGGTCCCTTGATTTGTAGAGCATTTCTAGTTTGGTTAAGTCGCACTCTTGGAATATCAAATAGGAATTGGTACTGGAATGGAGCCCATGGGTTCTGTTACAACCTTCTAGGAAACTCTTAAGGTCAGGATTGACATTACAGTTCTGAGTCTTAAATATATAGGGTACACATAAGAGGATGTGCAGTGACTTAAGAACAAGATTTCAGTATCCCAACAGCTAATTCACCCCAAGTGAAACTTTTGTACTGTTAATTCATATCGATGCATGACAATCAGCAAGGTAACCATAATATTAACGCAAGTCCAAAAATATTGTGAACTTATCCTATTTATTCAAACACACCAAATATCGTAATTACGTGATTAAATACCAACCAACATACTGTTCATATGGTTGAACCAGGATGTTTATGACGCATTGAAATAAAAAAAAATCTGCTTAATAATAATTTGAGATAAAAGTCATACTAGCATACAACAATTAATCACATAAATAATCACTATATCACATCAATTAATCACTATACACACACAGTGTTCCACTTATACATACACTAAAAATACACGAAATCATAACACTCAGCATAAAACACACATTTACACTCAATATTACATAAGTGTGTAATATTGCCTTGTAGTTACAAGTCATTTTTCCTCATATTACCACAACTTAACCACCTAGGGCCTAACCTTTATTATGACATATTCTTGTAAAGGTGTTAATTTGGGTTAAAACACTAACAGACATGTGCCTAACCTGCATAGATCTTTGCTGAATATTGCAACTTCATTGTTTTGAAAGGATTGATTTTGGATATAAACTTAAATGACTTGTACCTAACCTGCATGGATCTTTGTTGAATATTGTATCTATATTCTTAGAAAAGTGTTGTTTTGAATATGCACCTAACTACCCTGTGCTAAACCTGCCTGTGTATATGCTCAATATTGCAACTATATTGCTAGAAAAGTGTTTGTTTTACACATCAATTCAGCTACCTAGTTAGGATCTTTGTTCAACATTTCTAGCAATGTTTTGTTTCGGATGTGGACTCAACAACCCTGAACCTAACATGCCTTGACCTAACGTCAAATGTATCGTACGTTTGGAAAGTTTTTTTTGTTTTTTTTTTCATCAACCCAACCGCCCTGGACTTAGCCTCTGATACCAGGATCTTGGTCCAAAGTTGCCTCTTATTCTTAGCCATGTTTGTTTTTACGTCATTACAAGCAAGCCAGCCTTTCTAACCTCAATTACCCGGGTTAATGGAAATGTGTTATTATTGGGCATTTTCTCTTCATTAGCTTAAATTAACCAGCCTGTACCTAACTTTATACCTGGATCTGAATTCCATTTTACACATATTCTAAGGAAAGCGATAAGATTCCCTATATCTATATCATTAAATAATCAAATTTTCTTAACCTAACCTATAATTAAGGGCTTAATAAACCCCCACCCCCCCTTTACCTTGAAATTATTCTATATATTGAAGATAAGACCCCTCTACATTTTCTAAATTATTAAAAATTAGGGTAATATGTCATAATGACCCCATTTTTGGAGGATGGGCTGCATAAATAAGGGTAAATTAGGGATAAATTTAGATAATATGACATAAATAAGGGTCAGATATGGATAAATTAAGATATGACATAAATTAAGATAATAGGACATAAATTAAGATAATATGACCTAAATATAGATTATATGAGATAAATTAAGATAATATTACATAAATTAAGATAATATTACATAAATTAAGATAATATTACATAAATTAAGATAATATTACATAAATTAAGATAATATTACATAAATTAGGGTTCATTAGGGATAAATTAGGATATATTTGAATAATATGTGAAAATATATTTTCACCTTAATTATCCATAATTTACCCTTATTTTCGAGATAAGAGGAGAGGGGAGATAGAGCCCCTAGTTATGGGTAAGGTTAAGGGAAATTGGATTATTTAATGATATAGCTTCAAGAAGTGATCATGAGCAGTACAGCTAGGAGGAATGCTCATGTGCTGTACATTTGGAGTGCTCATGAGCAGTACAGCTTGGAGGAGTGCTCATGTGTTGTACAGCTTGGAGGAGTGCTCATGTGCAGAACAGTTTGGAGGAGTGTACATGTGTTGTACAGCTTGGGGGAGTGCTCGTGTGCAGTTCAAGTTGCAGGAACCTCAAATTATTTTCTCATTAATCATGTATATTATAATTTATCATATGAATCAAAGAGTTCACCACTTTATTATTACATATTGTATTAGCTAAATGCCCCAGGTACACACTTGGTCCTAGTGATGACCTGCCAGGCCTCGGAGGTGCTCCTTGAGAAACGCAAGTCAGGTGTTAGTACTAGGACAGGGAGCAGGTGCTACTCCAAGGTCAGGAGGTATGTGTTACCCCAAGGTCAGGTGGTAAGAGTTACTCCAAGATCAGGAGGCAAGTGTTACTCCAAGGTCAGGAGGCAAGTGTTACTCCAAGGTCAGGAGGTATATGTTACTCCAAGGTCAGGTGGTAAGAGTTACTCCAAGGTCAGGTGGTAAGTATTACTCCAAGGTCAGGAGGCAGCTGATACTTCAAGGATAGAAGGCAGCTATGACAATTTAAGGCAATTTCAGTTTCTCACAAATAACTCCACGAATTTCCTGGCAAGGAAGATCAAAGAAAAAATAATGATCTTCCCTGAACATTGCTATGCAGTTTTGAGTGGTTCCTCCGTCGGGCTCCTGAATATTGTCAGTAATGCCGTCACCCCAAAAGGGGGTTCCCATCTTGACCTGGGTACCATCAGTCCAGAAGTAAGATCCCTCGTGGCCTTCATCTCTCCCACCGACCCAGTAAGACAACTTAGCCAGACCTGCGGACATATTAGAGAACAGGTGAATATTATCAGAGAGAAATTATTATGCTATAATACAGTTTTCAGGAACGACATAGGTCTTGAGCTGAATAACTCACCGTTACTGTGAAGGTACCTGACGAGGTAATACATGAAGTTGCCACAGTCAACCTTGACAATCTCGCCGCCCTTCTGCTGACAGTGACGTCTCATTGTTTCCCAAGTTCCCGTCAGTGCCGTCTCCACGAAGATACAGTGACCATACACGTCCACAAACGGTGCCACGCACTCCACGACCCCTGTGGGCGACAGAGCACACGACTCATGCAGATGAATATATTAGGCAACTCTTGTGTCGAGGCTTTTATATTCAATGAAACATTACTTAAGATTTTTAGTAGAATGTAGTTTGTCATGAAGGTCATGTCAAGCTTGTGCTCGGGTGAGGTAAGCTCTTAGCTAATGAGACCTATGAACTACAAGGTCAGGTGAGCAAGGGAACTACAAGGTCAGGTGAACAAGGGAACTACAAGATCAGGTGAACAAGGGAACTACAAGGTCAGGTGAACAAGGGAACTACAAGGTCAGGTGACCAAGGGAACTACAAGGTCAGGTGAACAAGGGAACTACAAGGTCAGGTGAACAAGGGAACTACAAGTTCAGGTGACCAAGGGAACTACAAGGTCAGGTGAACAAGGGAACTACAAGGTCAAGTGACCAAGGGATCTACAAGGTCAGGTGACCAAGGGAACTACAAGGTCAGGTGACCAAGGGAACTACAAGGTCTGGTGAACAAGGGAACTACAAGGTCAGGTGAACAAGGGAACTACAAGGTCAGGTGAACAAGGGAACAGTTTTCGAACACGACATGTGCCTTCTCTTAATGTTAAAAACGACAATCAAACAAGTGAATATTTAATGTTAAATTAATTTATATACTCATCAATAGGGATGATGGCTTTAAGTGTGTGCAGCCACCTACGGTCACTGGTGGTGGCAATGATGAGCAGTTTTCAACTTCGTCGTGACGTTTTTGGATAATGTTGTTGATAGTGATGCTGTTTTATAACTTCTTTGTCTCTAATGGGGAACACTATTACCCTTGCCATTATCTTGGGGAGCACTATTACCCTCACCATTATATTAGGGAACACCATAACACTCACCATCATATTAAGGAACACTATTACCTTTACCAGCATCTTGGGGAACACCATTAGCTTTAACAACGTTCTGCAAAGCCGCTATTTCTGGAAAGGGAAAACAAATTATGTGATTTATTTCTGATTAAGATCTTGAAAACCAAATATTTATAAAATTGACATTCATCAGTCAAGAAGAGTTCGTTTAAAATCACTTTATTAAACAATAAAATATTCATCTAGAATTTGTTAATAAATCAGTATGTAAAAGTTTCAATGGTTCCAAGGGGTTGTCATAGCCAGGGGGTGGTAATGGGGGACGAGCTCCCATGACCTATAAAATGCTCCTATACGGCATGCGTCTCAAATAGCCTCTGACAACCAAGTCCAACTCCTGGCCTGCACGGGTGGCTTAGTCTAAGTCCGGCGGAACTGCTTTTACCGACAGGAGAAGGGGCGAGGGCGTGCCTCTGGCGCCTTAAAACCAGCTGCTCCGGGTAGATGGGACTCGATAGCCTGGGAAGGCAGCCCATCTAGGGGAAGGAAAACCCTGATTTTAAACCTCCGCTGCCTTGCGGCCATACCCTTGTTTTTGGGAAGGCTTCAGGAGTCAACCTCGAGGAAAAATCCGGAGTTGGAGCCCCTAAGGCAGTTCGTTGTTGACGTCGACCTCGTTCTGGCAGCTCCTGCGACGTTGCTGGAACCATGCGTATTGGCATTTGCCTCTCTATTGGATAATTTCAGCAACGTGGAGAGGGGGGACCTGCTGCATGGGTAACAGCTTCTCCTCCATATCTACCTACCCAGGCTTTGCGCCCTGGAGAGGACACTCCAGCTTCGCCTCACAGCGTCGAACCAACACGGGAAGCGACAGTCTACCGGTTTTAAGTCTTCTGCTCGATTGGCGAAGAGTGTGACGCCAGGGGTTGCTTCCGACGGTGGGAGGGGTCATCGCGCCCCACTGGGCAGCTACCGCCCGCCTCAAGCTGGGCAAACCCCAGCCAATAAGGTGTTGCCTCGCCACGGTCCGTTAACCTCACTGGGTGCGTGGGGTTTAGGGTGAAAACTGACAAGCGGCCCGACAACTTTGCACCAAGCAATACCAAACCAAAGAAGAAAATATCAACTGCCCTAAAGCTGGGCACATGGAACGTCAGGACACTGACACCAGGTTTCTCCGACGACCTGCAAGAAATCAATGACGCCCGAAAAACAGCAATCATCGATAGGGAGCTGAGCAAGCTGCAGATGGATATTGTTGCTCTCCAAGAGACCAGGCTCCCAGGATCAGGATCTGTGAGAGAGAGGACCTTCTCTTTCTTCTGGCAAGGAAAACCTCCAGATGAGACCAGAGAACATGGTGTGGGATTTGCCGTCAGGAATGCACTGTTGGGACACATTATGCCACCGATGGGGGAAACCGAACGAATTCTGTCTCTGCAACTGTACTCCCAAACAGGACCAGTCAATGTAATTAGTGCATATGCACCAACCCTGACTTCTCCAGCAGAGGCAAAGGAAAAATTCTACGATGACCTCAACAGAGTCATAGCGAGAATCCCTGTAAAGGAGCCACTGTTCATCCTCGGCGACTTCAACGCCAGAGTGGGTGCCGAGCACAACATTTGGCCCACTTGCCTGGGTCAATTCGGCATAGGAAGGATGAATGAGAACGGGCAACGTCTGCTAGAACTCTGCTGCCTTCATGGTCTTTGTGTCACCAACACGTTCTTCGGCACAAAGCCTCAACACCGAGTATCTTGGAGACACCCCAGATCCAAGCACTGGCACCAGCTTGACCTGATTCTTACCAGGCGTGCAAGTCTACCCAGCGTCAAGATTACGCGTAGCTACCAGAGTGCTGTCTGTGACACCGACCACTCCCTGGTATGTAGCAGGGTCAAGATGCAACCAAAGAAGATTCATCACTCGAAAAAGGCGGGCAGACCTCGCATCGACACCACCAAGACCCGCAACCAGGACAAGGTGGAAGATTTTGCACACGTGCTCGAGGAAGCTCTTCCTGGCCCAGCTGGGGTCACTGCCTGTAAAAGATGGGAGCACTTCAGAGACGCTGTGTTCAACGCTGCCATTTCCACCTTTGGCAAGAAGACCAGCAGGTCGGCAGACTGGTTCGAGGCTCACTCGGAAGAGATGACACCTGTAATCGAAGAGAAGAGAAACGCCTTGGCAGCCTACAAAGCCTGCCCAAGTCGGCGCAACTTACAGATCCTTCGGGCCGTCCGCTGCAAAGTGCAGCAGAGCGCCAGGCGATGTGCCAACAACTATTGGCTCCAGCTCTGCTCCCAGATACAGACTGCAGCGGATACAGGCAATGTAAGGGGAATGTATGACGGCATCAAGCAGGCCCTCGGCCCAATCCAGAAGAAGACCGCTCCTCTGAAATCTGCCACTGGCGAGGTGATTCAGGACCAGACACTGCAGCTGAAGCGCTGGGTCGAGCACTACTCTGAGCTATACGCCAGGGACAATGTGGTCACCGAAGATGCCCTGAGCGCCATTGAGTGTCTGCCTGTGTTAATGGAGCTCGACAGTGAACCGACCCTGGAAGAACTCAGCGATGCCCTAGACTCCCTTGCTTCTGGTAAAGCTCCTGGCAAAGATGGCATTCCTGCTGAGACCTTGAAGTGCTGCAGAGGTAGCCTGCTCATGGAGCTGCACGAAATTCTTTGCCTCTGCTGGGAAGAAGGAGAGGTGCCACAGGACATGAGGGATGCCAACATCGTCACACTGTATAAGAATAAAGGTGACAGGGGCGACTGCAACAACTACCGTGGAATCTCCCTCCTCAGTATTGTCGGAAAGCTGTTTGCTCGAGTCGCATTGAAGAGGCTCCAAGTACTTGCAGAGAGAGTTTATCCAGAATCACAATGTGGATTCAGAGCTGGCAGGTCCACCATCGACATGGTCTTTTCCCTCAGACAACTGCAGGAGAAATGCAGGGAACAGAAGCAGCCACTCTTTGTAGCCTTCATAGACCTGACGAAGGCCTTCGACCTCGTCAGCAGGGATGGCCTGTTCAAGATCCTCCCCAAGATCGGATGCCCACCCAGGCTCCTCAGCATCATCAGATCTTTCCATGAGAACATGAGGGGCACCGTGGTCTTTGATGGCCTAACATCAGGCGCCTTTGACATCCGAAGCGGAGTAAAGCAGGGCTGCGTACTGGCTCCAACCCTATTCGGGATTTTCTTCGCAGTTATGCTGCGGCACGCCTTCGGATCTGTCACGGAAGGCATTTACCTCCGGACCAGGTCGGATGGGAAGCTCTTTAACCTCGCCAGGCTGAGAGCCAAGACAAAGGTTCGGCTGAGGTGTCTGCGCGACTTCCTCTTTGCCGACGACGCAGCAGTCACTGCCCACTCAGCTGAAGACCTCCAACGGCTCATAACCCGCTTCAGCGAGGCCTCTCAGGCTTTCGGACTCACCATCAGTCTGAAGAAAACACAAGTCATGGGACAAGGAGTGGACTCCCCACCTGACATCGGCATCTCTGATTCCAAACTGGAAGTTGTTCACGACTTCGTGTACCTGGGCTCCACAATCTCTGACTCCCTCTCTCTTGATACGGAGCTAAACAAACGCATCGGTAAGGCATCTACTACCATGTAAAACTGACAAAGAGAGTGTGGGCCAACAATAGGCTAACTGAGTATACTAAGATTCAGGTTTACAGATCCTGTGTCCTGAGCACTCTCCTTTATGGCAGTGAGTCTTGGACACTCCGCGCCCGTCAGGAAAGACGGCTGAATGCCTACCACATGCGCTGCCTTCGACACATCTTGGACATCACCTGGCAGGACAAGGTGACAAACAACAACGTCTTGGGGAGAGCAAGAATCACCAGCATGTACACAATGCTGAAACAGAGACGAATGCGCTGGCTCGGGCACGTTGTGCGAATGGGCGACGGCAGGATCCCCAAGGATCTCCTGTATGGAGAGCTGAGGCAGGGAAAGCGTCCAGTAGGCAAGCCCCAGCTACGGTACAAAGACGTATGCAAAAGGGACCTGAAAGCCATGGACGTCGATCTTGCTATATGGGAGACACTGGCTACAGACCGTTCAGCCTGGAGGCAGTCTGTTCAACGAGGTCTCTCCAAGTTCGAGGAGTCACTTGCCAAGGAATCGGAGGCAAAGAGACAGAGAAGGAAAGCCGGTAACCAGGAAGACAGACCAGAATCGGACTTCGTTTGTGCTCGGTGTGGGATGGACTGCCACTCTCGGATTGGCCTCATCAGTCACACCAGACGCTGCACCAGGATTGACAACTAGGGCGCAACTCCATAGTCTCCCGAGACTGAAGGATGCCTACTACTACTACTACTAAAAGTTTCAATGATCCTCCAGAGCAGTGATCCTCAAACGGGTCGAGGCGCTTGACTCTCAAAAGAGGAATTTCTGTTAAGAGGATGAACTCTTAACTGAGAAAGACCGTACTCAGTATACTATATACATATCAAATGTAATGCCAATACACAGTTAAGCAGTCCTTTAGTAATGTCTGGCTCCTCAGAGTGCTTCTGCCACACCACACTAGCAAAGTGTACTAGTAATGAGCCAGATTGCACCATACTCTCTTGTGGTTAGTTGACATGAACATATTAGGAACAAGACAATGTATACAAACACAAGAGCCACTCACCGGAGGTAATGTTTGATTGCAGGTCGTTCAGCCACTCTCTTATTACTGAAATATAAACGACGAAAACCACATTACAATAACATGGTCGGTAATGAATAGAGTTAACAGTATTTTATGTAGTCTTGGTCGCTTCTGTCTTATATCCTTCTGTTGTCTCCTAAACCTACAATACCTGTGATCTCCTGAACCTACAATGTCTGTTATCTCCTGAACCTTCGGTGTCTGTTATCTTAATGATAACTTTGTGATCAGCTTAAGTAATAATAATGACAAATTATTACGACCATTGAGAAGGAAATTGAAATTAAATGAGCAAGTAACTGACCAAGGTACTGACTAGAAAAGAAAAATTTGATTTAAAGATATATAATCAGTGAACTTCACTTCAACACAAACTGCATCATCAAACTCAGCTACACCTTCTGCCACACCACACCCCAACACCAGCTGTATCATCCATCTCAGCTACACTTACTGCCACACCACACTCCAACACCAGCTGTATCATCCATCTCAGCTACACTTACTGCCACACCACACTCCAACACCAGCTCTGTCATCCATCTCGGCTACACTTACTGCCACACCACACTCCAACACCAGCTCTGTCATCCATCTCAGCTACACTTACTGCCACACCACACTCCAACACCAGCTCTATCATCCATCTCAGCTACACTTACTGCCACACCACACTCCAACACCAGCTCTGTCATCCATCTCAGCTACACTTACTGCCACACCACACTCCAACACCAGCTCTGTCATCCATCTCAGCTACACTTACTGCCACACCACACTCCAACACCAGCTCTATCATCCATCTGGATAACAATTTCCACCACAGCAAACTTCGACAGCTCCTACGTGACTGTGAAGCTGCTCCAGTGGTCTCCTTACCTCTGGTTCCGGAGTCGCGTTCAGCCAGCATGTTGGACATTGCCAGCTGGTTGAGGAGCAGCGTGTTGGATAGATCTTGAAGTGTCTGAATCTCTTGGGCAGCCGTCACCAGCGCCAGCACCGACAGCAGGATGGCTGAGAATGTTGCCATGTCGACCTCTCGGTGATCTTTGGGGGAGTGAGGCAGACACCCGTTGCTCTATTTATACGCTCGCCCGCCGTGGAAGGACACACACACACACACACACACACACACACACACACACACACACACACACACACACACACACACACACACACACACACACACACACTCACAACAACTGAGTAAAAGAACATGGAGAAACTACAGAAATAACAGAACACCAGAGAGCAGGGAGAGGTACCAGAGGGCCAGAAATGAGTACATCAGAGTGAGGAGGGAAGCAGAGAGACAGTTTGAAAATGACATCGCGAGTAAAGCCAAGACCCAACCAAAGCTGCTCCACAGCCATATCAGGAGGAAAACAGCAGTGAAGGAACAAGTGATGAAGCTGCGGAAAGGGGAGAACAGATACACAGAGAATGACAAGGAGGTGTGTGAAGAACTCGACAAGAGATTCCAGGAGGTCTTCACAATAGAACAAGGAGAAGCCCCTGCACTAAATGAGGAGGCGGCAACCTTGGAAACCTTGGAGGAATTTGACCTCACCAGTGATGAGGTCAAAAGGTGTCTGCTGGAGCTAGATGTGACAAAGGCTGTTGGGCCTGATAGAATCTCACCATGGATACTAAAGGAAGGTGCAGAAGCACTAAGTGTGCCACTCTCTATGGTGTATAACAGGTCACTGGAAACAGGAGACTTACCAGAAAGTTGGAAGACAGCTAACGTGGTCCCAATATACAAAAAGGGTGACAGGCAAGAGGCACTGAATTACAGGCCAGTTTCCTTAACTTGTATACCATGCAAGGTGCTGGAGAAGATCGTGAGGAAAAGGCTCGTAGAGCATCTGGAGGGAAATAACTTTGTAACGCACCACCAACATGGGTTCAGAGATGGTAAATCGTGCCTCACAGGGTTAATAGAATTTTATGACCAGGCAACGAAAATTAGGCAGGAAAGAGAAGGGTGGGCCGACTGCATTTTCCTGGATTGCCAAAAAGCCTTCGACACAGTACCCCATAAAAGGCTGTTAAAAAAGTTGGAGCAACAGGCAGGAGTAAAAGGGAAGGTGCTCCAGTGGATAAGGGAGTATTTAAGCAACAGGAAACAGCGAGTAACGGTGAGGGGGAAGACATCAGAGTGGCGAGATGTCACCAGCGGAGTCCCACAGGGCTCAGTACTTGGACCCATCCTGTTTCTAATATATGTGAACGATCTTCCAGAGGGTATAGACTCATTCCTCTCGATGTTTGCTGATGATGCAAAAATTATGAGAAGAATCAAGACGGATGAAGATAGACAGAGACTACAGGATGACCTGGATAAACTGGAGGAATGGTCTAGAAAATGGCTGCTGAAGTTCAACTCTGGAAAGTGTAAGGTGATGAAATTAGGCGAAGGGAGCAGGAGGCTGAACACAAGGTATCATCTGGGAGGGGAAATCCTGCAAGAATCAAATAGAGAGAAGGATCTGGGGGTTGATATCACACCGAACCTGTCCCCAGAGGCCCACATCAAAAGAATATCATCAGCGGCATATGCTAGACTGGCCAACATAAGAACTGCCTTCAGAAACTTGTGTAAGGAATCTTTCAGAACCCTGTATACCACTTATGTAAGACCAATCCTGGAGTATGCAGCTCCAGCCTGGAGTCCATACCTAGTTAAACACAAGACAAAGTTAGAGAAGATTCAGCGGTATGCCACCAGGCTCGTCCCGGAACTGAGAGGATTGAGCTACGAGGAAAGGCTAAAGGAGCTGAACCTCACATCCCTGGAAAACAGAAGAGTAAGGGGAGACATGATAACCACCTACAAAATTCTCAGGGGAATTGACAGGGTGGACAAAGACAAACTCTTCAGCACGGGTGGGACACGAACAAGGGGACACAGGTGGAAACTTAGTACCCAGATGAGCCACAGAGACGTTAGAAAGAATTTTTTCAGTGTCAGAGTAGTTAATAAATGGAATGCACTAGGAAGTGATGTGGTGGAGGCTGACTTCATACACAGTTTCAAATGTAGGTATGATAGAGCCCAGTAGGCTCAGGAATCTGTACACCAGTTGATTGACAGTTGAGAGGCGGGACCAAAGAGCCAAAGCTCAACCCCCGCAAGCACAATTAGGTGAGTACAATTAGGTGAGTACACAAACACACACACACAAACACACACACACACACACACACACACACACACACACACACACACACACACACACACACACACACACACACACACACACACACACACACACACACACACACACACACACACACACACACACACACACACACACACAGTGTGTGTGTGTGAGACCCTGTTATCCACCTCACAGGTCCTCACACCTATGGAACAGCTTCACCCACCAGCAGAACACTCACCAAGGAGGCGATTTGAGAAAGGGCAGAAGAAAGTGAGCCTCAAAGCAATGTACACTTACATAGATGGAATTACAAATAAAGCAAATGAGCTTGGAGAACGGGTACTAGAGGAAAACCCAGACATAATAGCCCTCTCAGAAACAAAGCTAACGAAAACGATAACAAATGCAGTGTTCCCACAGGACTATTATGTTATGAGGAAAGAGAGGGAAGGAAGAGGTGGGGGTGGTGTAGCTCTGCTGGTAAGAAAAGGCTGGGATTTTGAGGAGATGGATATTCAGGGCTGTGAAGGTTTCAGTGACTACATAGCAGGCACCGTAACAAATGGAGGGAAAAAAATAATAGTCGAAGTCATATATAATCCACCACCCAATGACAGAAGACGTAGACAGGAATATGATAGAAACAACATGGCCACCATTAACATAATAGAAAGAGCAGCTTCTGTTGCCAGCAGGAATGGATCTGGACTACTAATTATGGGAGACTTAAACCATGGGAAGATAGATTGGAAGAACAGAGACCTGCATGGAAGACCAGAAACATGGAGAGCTAAGCTGCTGGACATGGCAACAAGAAACTTTCTAATCCAGCACTTCAAGGAACCAACAAGAATGAGAGGAGAAGATGAACCAGCAATGCTTGATTTGATATTTACCCTAAATGAGTGGGATATAAGGGAAGTTATGATGGAAGCGCCCTTGGGAATGAGTGACCACAGTGTATTGAACTTTGAGTACCTGGTAGAGCTAGGAATTATCTCCCCCAAAAAAGAACTAGGAATCAAAAGGCTGGCATACCGAAAGGGGAATTATGAACAGATGAGAAGTTTCCTAAGTGAAATACCTTGGGACACAGACCTCAGAGATAAGTCTGTACTGGGTATGATGGATTATGTTACCCAAAAGTGTCAGGAGGCAGTAAACAGGTTCATCCCGCCCCAAAGGGAAAAATCCGAGAAGCAACAGAAGAATCCATGGTATAATAGGGCATGTATGGAAGCGAAGAAACTGAACAAAAGAGCGTGGAGGAACTTCCGGAATAACAGAACACCAGAAAGCAGAGAGAGATACCAGAGAACCAGGAATGAGTACGTCAGGGTGAGACGAGAAGCAGAGAAAAGTTTTGAAAATGATATAGCAAACAAAGCCAAGACCGAACCAAAGCTACTCCACAGTCACATCAGAAGGAAAACAACAGTGAAAGAACAGGTATTGAAACTTAGAACAGACGAGGACAGGTATACAGAGAAAGACAGAGAGGTGTGTGAAGAACTCAAAAAGAGGTTCCAGGAGGTCTTCACAATAGAACAAGGTGAGGTCACTGTGCTAGGAGAAAGGGAGGTAAACCAGGCGGCCTTGGAAGAGTTCGAAATTACGAGAGAGGAGGTCAAGAGACACCTGCTGGATCTGGATGTTAGAAAGGCTGTTGGTCCAGATGGGATCTCACCATGGATACTGAAAGAGTGTGCAGAGGCACATTGCTTGCCACTCTCCATAGTGTATAGTAAGTCACTGGAGACGGGAGACCTACCAGAAATATGGAAGACGGTGAATGTGGTCCCAATATACAAAAAGGGCGACAGGCAAGAGGCACTGAACTACAGGCCAGTGTCCTTGACTTGTATACCATGCAAGGTGATGGATAAGATCGTGAGAAAAAACCTGGTAACACATTTGGAGAGAAGGGACTTCGTAACAAATCGCCAACATGGGTTCAGGGAGGGTAAATCTTGCCTTACAGGCTTGATAGAATTCTACGATCAGGTGACAAAGATTAAGCAAGAAAGAGAGGGCTGGGCGGACTGCATTTTCTTGGATTGTCGGAAAGCTTTTGACACAGTACCGCATAAGAGGCTGGTACATAAGCTGGAGAGACAGGCAGGTGTAGCTGGTAAGGTGCTCCAGTGGATAAGGGAGTATCTAAGCAATAGGAAGCAGAGAGTTACGGTGAGGAGTGAGACCTCCGATTGGCGTGAAGTCACCAGTGGAGTCCCACAGGGCTCTGTACTCAGTCCTATCTTGTTTCTGATATATGTAAATGATCTCCCGGAGGGTATCGATTCATTTCTCTCAATGTTTGCGGACGATGCTAAAATTATGAGAAGGATTAAAACAGAAGAGGACTGTTTGAGGCTTCAAGAAGACCTAGACAAGCTGAAGGAATGGTCGAACAAATGGTTGTTAGAGTTTAACCCAACCAAATGTAATGTAATGAAGATAGGTGTAGGGAGCAGGAGGCCAGATACAAGGTATCATCTGGGAGAGGAAATTCTTCATGAGTCAGAGAAGGAAAAGACTTGGGGGTTGATATCACGCCAGACCTGTCTCCTGCAGCACATATCAAGCGGATAACATCAGCGGCATATGCCAGGCTGGCCAACATATGAACGGCATTCAGAAACTTGTGTAAAGAATCATTCAGAACCTTGTATACAACATATGTCAGGCCAATCCTGGAGTATGCAGCCCCAGCATGGAGTCCATATCTAGTCAAGGATAAGATCAAACTGGAAAAGGTTCAAAGGTTTGCCACCAGACTAGTACCCGAGCTGAGAGGTATGAGCTACGAGGAGAGACTACTGGAATTAAACCTCACTTCGCTGGAAGACAGAAGAGTTAGGGGGGACATGATCACCACATTCAAGATT